ATGATCTCTTGGAGAGCTTGTCTGAAGGCTTGAGTGCACTGTTGTTTGAGTCCATTCCTCTCAATGATGGCAAAGTTGCGCTCTTGAGTGCTCTCTTCAAAGCACTTCCGGTATCTGCGACTCTCCTCCTGAGCCGACTCGAGCGCCGATACGTATTCTTCGTGAGTGACCACGAGATCCGAGTATCGCTTCCGGAGTGACTTGTGTTCAGCCATTAGTGTCTCGGATTCCCCACTATTCAACTTATCTCTGGTTTTGTCTGAATTAATGGTCAATGGATTGTGGGATCCGATCGATGAACAACTGGGAGAAGAATCACTCACTGAATGCTTGTTTTTATTTCAATATAATTGTTGTAAAGGTTTTCAAATTAATAATTTATTAATAACTTATTTTTTACTTTAATTGTAATTAAAATCAAACCTAATATTCTGTGCATTGATTTCTTGAGCCAATAGTTTGACATCGGATTCAATGATATGTTTGGATGCCTTCAATGCCGACAACTCTTCACTCAATTCTTTAATTTGTGTCGACATTTCACACAATTTTTGCTTCAAATCTGTGGCCATATTTTGATTACTGAAAATAATTACGAATTTATATTAACGTTAGAATAAATGCAATAAAAATTTTTAGCTAAAAATTATATCAGACCTAATGTTTGAAACCAATGTCGACAGAGTATACACCGCTTGTTTCAAATTAGTATTTTCGATAACCATTGTCTCCATTGACTCCAATGATGTCTTGAGCTGTATTATCAATGCCTGTACTTCTATCTCATTCTTCGCCTTCAAAGTCGATATCTCTTGAGTTAAACAAATTTTTTGAGCCGAGAATTCACACAATTCTGCCACCAATTCTTGATTACTGTGAAACATGTGAATATTTTGTATAACAAATAAATATTAATTTCAATATAAACTCATTTATATCGCGAATATAACAAAACCTCTTCTCAGATGTTATCAATTGTTGTCTCAAATTCTCCATCTCTTCAGTCATTGTCTCCATTGAGTCGTTGGATGTCTTGAGCTGTGCTTTCAATGCCTTCACTTCGGACTCATTGCTTGCCTTCAGAGCCGACATCTCTTCACACAATTCACGACACTTTCGGTCCGACTCTTCACTCAGACTATGGTTTTAAACAAACATTTTATTAATTAACTATAATTATTAAATATCAGTTACAAAAACATACCTGGATGTTTGTGATGGCTGGGAATTAACGGGTTTAGGCGTCAATACTTGTGACACTTTTATCTCGTATTCTGTGTCCAAATCCGATATTTTAAAATCATCTTGGTACACTACATTAAGTGGTACCCCTAAGTTATGTGATATTGTTATCCGTTCGGTGTTTTCGTCGAAATAACTCCACTTTTGTAGATAACACTTAAGATCTTTGACTGTTTTAACATATGTTGGTATAAATAGTTTATAACTATTTCCACCATAACGGTGTAAACGATGTACACACGTAGCCCTAGACATAGTAAGACTCATTATGTAATTATGATTTGTTAATTATGGTAAAAAATAATATCCAATAAATTTTATTTTAGCAAATTGTTTGATATATAGTGAGTGTATGCGCTCTGAGATCACAATCACTACTAAACTGATGGTCAGTTTGGTGTTCACTAATGGGCGCACACTTTCTGTACTATCTAAAGCCTCGTCAAGAAAGATTGAACCTAAAATGAGCCCAAAAAAGCTTTATTTATTGTTTGGTTTGATTTATATTTGGCATTCGTTGAACTAATTGTGTACAGCTTTAAATAAACACAAATAAAACCTACATTTTAACTGCAATACAAGTGTTGAGTCCATATAAACCAAAGGCCTGAGAGTCTGAAAAACCGGACTTTCAAATGCAATGTGCGCTCAAAGCATGTGATAAATAATCCCTATTTTTAAACGATTGATGCTTTAAATATCATTCAAACGCAACAAATAGTTACTAAAATTAATTCTGGAAACACTCGAGGATTTGTCACGTCCTAGTTATTAGTGTTATCAATGATCATGTTTATAATTTTGTGAAATAAGGTGAAAAGTAAGGTAAAGGCATGAAATAATAGTTTTAGTATTGGTTGGCATTACTTTCTAAACGAGGTTTCAGTTCACAAACACATGCTTTCAAACCACTGTCGCAATGCCTCAAACTTTTAATTTAATTAATTTTAAGTCTATATTATAATTTATTTAATATTTTTTACATTCCACAAAATGTGTTCAAAAGTAATGAGTGTTTCGTTGATTGAAATGAAGAGTAAATTCAATGCAATGAAGAGTTTGTGTGAAATAATAGACAAAATTCAGTGTATTTTGAATACAAATAATAGTGTTTTGTGTGAAGCGATTGAATGCGAAAATAATGATTATTTTTCAATCAATCAAACAATTGATTGCAATTCATGTAAAATCAGTGATAAAATGCTAAACAATTGTCATATNATTGATTGCAATTCATGTAAAATCAGTGATAAAATGCTAAACAATTGTCATATCATTACTAAATCTAATGATTATTTTTACTGTTTTTGGCCTAAATGTCAATATAAAACCAATGTTAAACGAAATATAATTCGACATAAATTAATTCATTCAGGAATAAAACCATTTAAATGTGATTTTAATAATTGTAGTAAAAGTTATATACAAAAAGATCATTTGAATCGTCATATAAGTAATGTGCATTTAAATGTGAGATTTATTTGTGATTTCAATGAATACCACAAAAGTTTTATAACAAAATCAGATTTATTTCGACACAAAAGTTGTATTCATTTGAATGGAAAAAAATTCAAATGTAATGAAGAAAATTGTGGCAAAAAATTTGGATTTTATTCAAACCTTATTCAACACAAACGCTTGCATTCGGGAGAAAAACCATTTGTTTGTCATTTCAATAATTGTAATAAAAGTTTTTCACAAAATTCTAATCTCAGCAAACATATTAATATACATCTGAATATAAAACTTCATAAATGTATTCATAATAACTGCAATTAACGTTATTCTACTAAATATGAGTTAACGCAACATTTAACTAATTTCAAACATTTGGAAAAATAATATAATTATGTATAATTTGTATAAGATGATATTCACATTTCATCACAAAATTTATGTTATATATTTAGATAAAAATATTTACTAAATATTTATAATATTTAATAATTTATTATCATTTGTATTAAAATATTGAAGATATTGAATAAATTTTAATTTCTAAATATTGGATAATAAATTATTTTTTAAATTTCTATTGAAAATATTGTGTCCAAAACTGATCGCATTCTCTCTTAAAGGGATCGACAAATGTTTTGCTGAAGTCGTATGGATTCATGTCCTTAACCCGAGAGATCTTATAGTCTTCCGCTTTGTTCACCAGTTTTGGCCACTTTTTATCACTCGTCGGAACCCTTTATACCA